GGACCCAGAATGGAGTTAGAACTTGTTCAGAGCCATCATTATCACTTGTGATCCCAGATCCCCCTGATGTGTTCCTCCATGAGCTTCCCAAGGACAGTAAATTGTTCCTTTGGAGGAAGGTTTCATTTTTTTTAGGTTTTTCCCCCCTCTTTCCCTCTGGTTTCACGTCAGTTAAACAATTTGGGTTACTGGGAAGGCACACCTGGATTTGGAGGCTGTCCCTCCCAAGGGCCACACACGTGACAGCAGTTTGCTCTTCCTCAGAACGAGCTTTGCTGCATCACACGTTCCGCTCCCAACACCCAATATTTGGAATTCAGTGTGGGATAGATAAGCTGAGCTTTGCTTTAATAAACCTCACAACTCCCAGAGTGTGAAACTCCTGGCAGTTTCTGACAGGGGTGCAAACTCCGGGCTGTTACCTTATTAAAATCAAGATTTGGTGGGTGCAGGGGGGGGGTCTCGTGGAAGAACATCCCTGATGGAGCAGGAAGGGAGATCAGCAGATATTGAGATGGAACCATGTGTCCACTGGGCTGGACAGTTGAGATAAATTAACTAAAAATGCTCATTCTTCCAATTATTTCCTCTTTGGTCTTGTTCTTGCTGAGGGAATTTTATAAGTTGGTTTGAGTGTGATGGTGCAGAGTCTAACACAGGTAGGCCTGACTAAACTTAAACCACTGTGTTTCCTCTTATACATTGAGCTCATCTACCTAATTAGTTCTTTGGCTATAATTGTGCCTTGTCCTTATGTGTGTTTAATGTATGTTTTGTCAATGAGGGCTTTTCTCCATAGAATTATTCCTGGTGTGGCATGTCCAGAGCACAGACCCATGGGTTTAAGATCATTTCTTAAATGACAGGACAAGGGCTGATGGTTTTAAACCGAAGGAGGGTTGATTAAAGTTAGAATTAAGGAATAAATTTTACAATGAGGGTGGTGAAACAACCACCAGCCTTTGAGTAACTGGGCTTTGAACAACCTGGTTTAGTGGAAGGTGTCCCTGCCCATGGCAGGGGTTGGAATGAGGTGATTTTTAAGGTCCAGTCCAGGCCATTCCATGATTCTCTGAACTCAGTTATACAGAAACATCACATGCTTATAATGTTTAAGGAAGGATATCAAAGACCACCACAGTCTGAAGAGAACCAAGGCCGTGATGAGGAGATGGAGGCTGGAATAAATCTTGGGGAATAGAAATGATCTTTGGTTGTCAGGACATTCATTAGCATTCCTTTATTTAGCAGGAGAATTGTAGCTTAGAGATAATTTTCAAAAAAAAAAATAAATGGAGTGTTATTTAAAGAACCCATCCAGCCCAAATCTCTGAGTTGACACCTGTCACTATAAAAGCAGTACAGAGGGTACCAGTTGTCCTTGAAAGATGAACCTCCCTCCTATTAAATACAGGAAAATTTCATATCCCACCTAAAACCTCCCCTCTTTCAGCTTGAATCCCCTTATCCTTTGTCCTGTCACTGCTCTTGGAAAAGGGCCTTCTCCATCTTTCTTGTTGGCTCCTTCAGGCACTGAAGGTCACAGTTAGGTCACCTCAAAGCCTTCTCTTCTCCAGGCTGAACAATCCCAATTCTCCCAGCCTTTCCTCACAGCAGAGGTGCCCCATCCCTCTGATCATCTTGGTGCCTCCTCTGGACTCTCTCCAGCAGCTCCATGTCCTCCCTGTGCTGGGACTCCAGAGCTCAGGGGGTTTAAAGCTCTGCTGTAGGTGGTGGACAAGGTTGGGAGTGTCTCTTCCTCAAAAAACTGTAACAGAAAGAGAATCCTGGGAAGGATGGATGGAAATCTCATCCAGGAGTCCTGAAATGCTGGTTCTGAGACCGCTTGTGAATAGTCCTGGAGCTGATTCCTCCTTGTCCATGAAGGACATCTCTGTGAAGCAGAGCCTGGTCTGTCCTAGGGGAAGATTCCAATGGCCACGGGTTGGAGACACTTGTCCATTGCTGGCTGCTTGGAATGGTGGGATGGGTGATGGAATATGTTAATGGTGCTCCAACCCTTCTGCCCCCTTCTCCTCTGGACTTCTTTGTGTAATCCCATATAGGACTGATGGTAAAACCCTCAAATCTACCATTTTGAGCCATCAAAGGAAAATAATGGTTGCAGGAGACCCTCCCAGTCCAGCCTGATTATATTTAGCAATGAGAGACTTAATCTAAGGCAAATTGAGCACGAATCTGGAGCCTTTCCATGTGCTCCAGTGAGGATTCTCTGCTTTCACACTGGTGTAAATGAGATCAAAATCAGAGCTTGATCTGCCCTGGTGGAAGATTCCAATGGCCACAGGTTAGAGATGCTTGTCCATTGCTGGCTGCTTGGAATGGTGGGATGGGTGATGGAATATGTTAATGGTGCTCCAACCCTTCTGCCCCCTTCTCCTCTGGACTTCTTTGTGTAATCCCATATAGGACTGATGGTAAAACCCTCAAATCTACCATTTTGAGCCATCAAAGGAAAATAATGGTTGCAGGAGACCCTCCCAGTCCAGCCTGATTATATTTAGCAATGAGAGACTTAATCTAAGGCAAATTGAGCACGAATCTGGAGCCTTTCCATGTGCTCCAGTGAGGATTCTCTGCTTTCACGCTGGTGTAAATGAGATCAAAATCTGGCTGCCTCTCCAAGATGGCCGGAGAGAGCGTGAATGAAATCCCTGGGCAAAAATAGAGACTCGCTTCAGCAACGAGCCCCCCTGGCTGGCAAGACTCGTCAGGGAACTGGAGCTACTGAAAAATGCTGCAGACAGAAAATGAATTAGAGGAGAAAAAAAAGTGAAAATGAGCTGGCAGAATCTTTAGGTGACTCATCAGGTGCATCTTGTAAAGTCTCTTTCTGAGAAGTAATGAAATCGCGTGTTCTAACAATATTTGCACTGCAGCGGGAAAAGGCATAAATATTGGGATCAATTAATGAAATTAGATAATTTGACCAAAAAAGCCCTGGAGCTGGCTGGGAAACCATCCCTCTTCCTTTTTGCTTGTGTCAGTGCTTGCTGTTGGAGAGGAAAATCCCGGGGTTTCGTTGCGCGTTGAGGAGAGGCGAGTTCTGGGCAGCCACTGGGATACACTGGGAATTCACCTGCACCTCCAGGAGTTCCACTTTCACCCCATGGAAGCTCTCAGGCAGGTGCAGAAAAGCCCTGGTAGCTGTCTGGGTGTGCAGCCCCCCACCCCTGGGATTTTCGGATTGGTGGGGGTTGGATCCATCTTGTCTCTGTGTCTCTTCATGTCCTTCCAACCTCTGCTTTCCGACTGAAAAATGGGGAATAATGGTTTTCTTTAAAAAGGGAATTTTTCCTCAGGAAAAAGCCTGTGGATATGCAACCTTTAGATATTCCAGTAACTCTTTGCTCGTGGTGGAGTTCATCACAGAGCTTCAGTTCTGGGGTGTGAGATGAATTCGGAGTGAAACGTTGGGGTCGCTGCTATCAGTGGGTCAAATTATGCTATTTATAATAGAGCAATTATGCTGTTTGTAATACATTAATTACTTTATTCCAGCAGTATTTCCGTGGATTTATATTTGGGGAAGGCACTAAACCTCAGGTGAAGAATGGGGCTTAATTAATCCCCTAAAAATGATGAGACCTGGAGCGTGGGCGTCTATTGAGGAATATAAACCCGGGCGCTTGGGTCGGGATTTTGGTGGGTAATCGTGAGCTCCTTGAGCCAAAAAGAGCCATCACCATCTTCAGCTTTATCAGCAGCAAGAGCAGAACCCATCAGGTTATCCTACCCTTGGATTGGCTCCGGGACAATTGTTGTTGGAATAATTTGTCTGGTTTCTGGCGTCCTCGACTCAAGAGGATGTTGACAAATTGGAAAGATGTAAAAGAGCCACGAGGGTGGTTAAAAGATTGGCAAACGTGGCTTGCCAAGGGAACAGCTCCTGGCTCGCAGCGATTTTGTGTTTTTTTTCCTATAAATGAAGGTTAAAGGGTGGTTTTAGCAGCTCCAAGTACCTGTGGGAAGAGCAAAAATAGACGGTGGCTGTCAGACAGAGGTGGAACACCCGCCGGTGCCGGGGAGATGAAGCCAGACTTGAGCTGAACAGAACAGTTTTTAAGAGCAAAACTGATGATCTGGTGTGATATTTTATGGGAGTTCTGGTTTTTTTTCATCCATCTCTAGAATTATCTGTTGTGGTATTTTTGAGCCCTGGCTTTTCGTCCATGTCTAGAATCATATACATCAACATTGATTTGATTTTGGAGGTTATAATTTGCATTTCGGTGTAATTCTTGGAGGAAAACCCTCTGCCTTTATTAACTGTGGGTTTATGTGTATTCCAGAGCATCTCTTGGTGTTGTGGGTCTCCTCATTAGCCCTACCTGCACCTCATGTAGGATGTCTCTTCCTCGGTGCTCATCGATCTCTGTGATCTGAGTATTGTGACGCTGTCAGGAAGCAACAGGAAGAGTTAAAATGAGATTTTTTTTTTTTTTCCTCTCCACGAGCGTTTTTCGGCGTGTTTTCCCTGCAAAAAAAAAAAAAAAAATGAAAACTAGCGCTGCTTATTCTGTTTATTCTAAACCCAGCTTTTATTTGAAGAGATCCCTGCAGGGATTGCTCCACCTTTGTTCCCTGGAAGCCTCGATTTCCGCAGGAAGCTCGTCCGAGGAGAGGCTGTGCTAAATTTACCTTGAGACCTACGTGTGGCAGAGGATTTTCGATTTTGTAAAGCTCAGCTCAAGAGTGTGAGGTCTGGCTGTTGTTGTTCTTTCTTACCAATATAATTCAATACGAATAAAACACTGTCTCTGCCTTGCTGGTCTCACTGTCCACGCAGATTCGAGGAGCTCGGGGTGTGTAAAGGATCTTTAAATACATCCTGCAAGGATGCAAAAAATGAGTGTTTCGTACCAATCCCTCACATTCATTTACTCCAGCAGCTAAAAGGTGAATCTTTGGGGTTTGGGATACAACTACATTTTAATTTTATTTTTTTTTTAATTTAATATTCTCTTTTATTTTTCTAGCTGTGGGGAGCTCAAAAAATCAAACAGGTAATACACTTTTTTTAATATTTCCTTGTTATTTTCAGCTCTTGCTGCTTTTCCCTCTTTTCCCTAAGCTTTTCCCCTTTTTCCTCTTCTCTGTTATTCCCTTTGCCAGTTGCTGTTTTGCCTTGCCATGGAAATGTAAATGCAGAGAACACTCTGCCACCAAAGAGCCGGAGTTGGGGGTTTTTTTTATAAATATATTTATATATTTTGATGTCTTCATTTTCTCCTTCCTGTCTAGTCAAGAGATTTCTTGTCTCCAGTCTTTTGAAAATAGTTTGACAGTTCTTTGGGAAGGCTCGTGGCTGTGCCTTCCTCCTCTGCAGTCCTGGATCCTTTGGGAATTGATTTTTCATCCCCAGCCATTTAATGCCAGTGCAGCCTCCTGGGCTCTTTGGAAAATTTGGGTGAAAGATGAGTCAAATGAGCCAGATTTAGGATTTCCATGGAATTTGGGCTGTCCAGAGCCACCTCAGTTGGCTGAGGAGCTGTGGATATCCATAAAAGTCAGATTATCTGGCAAATCTGAATCCTGTGTGTGATTTTATTTGGATGTCCCTTATGGTGACATCTGAAGTGGGCCATACCTGTGTGTTTTTATCCCATCTCATCCTGGAGAAGCATTTCAGGCTTCCTACAACACCTGGAGATGTGGGTGATGTTACTCAAACTGAATCCACAACTGCAGTTGGGGAAGATGTTCCTCAAAGTGATGGGGAAGATGTTCCTCAGACTGAATCCAGACCTGGAGATGTGGAAGATGTTCCTCAGACTGATTGGGAACATGTTCCTCACACTAAATCCAGACTTCCAGTGGGAAAGATATTCCTTGGACTGAATCCACACCTGGAGATGTGGGAGATGTTCCTCAGGCTGAATCCACACCTGGAGATGTGGGAGATGTTCCTCAGGTTGAATCCACACCTACAGGTGTAGGAGATGTTTCTCAAACTGAATCCACACCTGCAGATGGGAAAGATGTTCCTCAGAATAGTGATTTATATCCTCATTCCCTCCTGAACCAACAGCCCTACCTGTCCCTCTGCCACACTGAGGGCTTTTCCCATCTTTCCTGTGGCAGAGGTTCAGCCAGGACATTGATCTGCACCTCAGTGGAGATGCTGAAAACAGGCAGGGCCAGAAAATAGTTTTCCTTTTTCCCCCCCTTTTCCCTGCTGGGGTTAAGGTACAGCAGTGGGTGGCCTTTGGGGACATTATAGAACCAAGAAAGAGCCACTCTTTGTATTTCAGGTTAAGTTATTTACTTCTAAATGATTAATTTGTGCTAAATTATTACAGGCTATCATCCATCCCGACACAAACGAGACCATCTTCATGCCTTTCCGAATGTCAGGTATGGTTTGTGCCATGAATTTTACTGGGAATTTGTACAAAATGTTGGGGTTTTTTCTCCCTCTTTTTGAACTGAATATTGGGAACATTTAGACCAAGATCAGAAAGTAATTCCAACACCAAAATCCCTTTGCAAGTAAGGAATATGAGGATGATAATTGTCTCTGAAAGATCTAGTGCTTAATAATTCCCTTTCCTTTCCTTTCCTTTCCTTTCCTTTCCTTTCCTTTCCTTTCCTTTCCTTTCCTTTCCTTTCCTTTCCTTTCCTTTCCTT